CATTCACATTCACATTCACATTCACATCTCGTCTTGCTCTGTACTGACTGTTCAGTCATTCGTCATTCAGCAATCGCGAATCTCTGCTTCTCACAGCACCGTCTCGCGCCACTCAAGACTCAATCACATGCACACCCACACCTCTGTCATGCCCATGGAGGGGGATGACGACGATGAGTCGATGAACCACATCAGCCTGGCCGAAAGGCAAGCTCTGCATGTCTTCATTCATCGATTGGAGCACTTTGTCCAGTCTGGCACCGACGATGGCGCGCTGCAATCCGCCTCGCAGCTCGCCGAAGAGCTTCAAGCTTTGCGCTCCATCTACGGCGACCAAAGCATCGGTCTGCTGCATCCAAGCACAAGCACAAGCACAAGCACAAGCACAAGCACAAGCACAAGCACAAGCACAAGCACAAGCACAAGAGGCGAGCCTTCATGCTCTCAACCATGCAATCGCTCCACCCCCACTCCTTCCCCCAACGCTGCCGACCCGCGGATCAGCATGGACAAGCTCAGGCTCAGCGTTCGTGCAGACATTGCAGCCGCAACGGCGTCAAGCGAGGCTGCAGCCTCGCAGCCCCTCCACTTATCCATCACCTTGCCTTCAAACTACCCGCACTGCGATCAAGCGCCACAGCCTCAGGTGCTCAGTCGCTACATCGGCCCTTTGCCAGTAGATCATCTCATCTTTGCAGAAGTCCTGAGATGTTTTCTTCACTTTCAACGCCTCATCTCTGAAAGCGATGTGGGTCGCGAGCGTGGAGAACAAACAGCGCAGCACAACGATACCAAAGGACTACGATGGACCAAGGGCGAAGTGATCTGCTTTGAAATCATCGAGTGGGTCAAGGAGCGTGTGGCCGAGTGGTTTGAGCAGCGTCTTGCCCGGCGACGAGAGGAACAGTCGCGCAATCCGAGGTCATTGGACGCTGAAGCAGCACAGCCTCCAGATTTCAGCAACGATGACCAAGACTCAGAGCGGCAAGATATGGCGACGTTGCCCGAGTCCACTGATCAACGTCACGCTAGTCACAAAGCAGTCGACATTGCCAGCATGCTCGTCAGCAGCCCCCCCATCACCGAACGAAAGTCGGTCTTTGTCGGTCATGCTGCGCGCCTGACTCACCCCGACGAAGTGAGTGGGATGTCGGCTTCTATACCATCATGGCCTGTCGCATTTCGGTTCTTCGAATGGCAATTGTCGCTCAATCGTCCTGCTTTGCGTTTCCCTGCGCTCTGCAGATTCCTGCTTTGCTTGCACATCTCTTGTCCGACCGGCGGATTGCGAAAGCCACTCATCCGACCATACATGCATGGACGTGCTCGAGCACTGGCCAGAGCGGCAGACCAGTTCATGCCAGTGACTGCGACGATGACGGCGAATCCGCCGCAGGTGGGAGGCTAGCACATCTGCTCCACGTGCTTGTAAGTACGCGAGTGGATGCCCTGGCGACATTCTTTCAAGCGCACACGATGCGGCTGCTCCGATGCTTGCGCTGGCGAAAAGTGCACGCCGCCAGATCACAGGTCAAATGCGTTCTCATATTTGCCCTCCTCATCCTTTTCAGGGCGTTGACAATGTCATTGTAGTGGTCACAAGATGGGTAGGTGTCTGGCTCGATGTCGCTGGAACGGCGCCTCCATCCCAAACTTACACTACTGATTTCCGCGCTCACCCAAAGTACGGAGGTGTCCATCTCGGCGCAGACCGCTTCAAACTCATCAACAGGGCAGCGCGAGATGCTCTGGAGGTCTTGGGCGTGGTTCAAGGTCCGCTCAATTTAGGCCCTGACATTTCAAACGCTGCGCATGCATATACGCACAAGCTTGACACCACGTCTAGACGGTAGAATCTAATCCATGCAATTGCACTGCTCGGAACAGCATCAACTCTAGCGGCGGATGCGATGCGCGCCAGGATCACCGTTCCGAAATGTTGATTTCGCGAGCTATAGTTGAATGCTAGATTCCCACGGCGCAGCTCCCCTCTTGCCTCTGCTGCGGGGTGTCCCAGCCCCTTGCGTCTCCAAGGTTGTGGTGCCAGAAGCGGATTTGGGCGGCGTGCGATCGCTTGCTTGAACTGACGAGAAATCAATTTGGGGGTTGGGTAGCGCACTCTCGCTCTGGCCGCCTTGCGCGACCTCACGCGCAGCTTGAGCCCGGAGCCTGCGTTTTGCGCCTTCGCTCAACGATTGCTCCCACGCCTCGGTTGCAGGCCCTCTCACAGCAGTGCTGGGTGGCGTGGCTGCGTAGGAAGGTGCTTGCAGAGGTTTGTAAGCAGCTTGTCCATCTTCTGTGCGCTGGTGAGCCGTCGATGCGGCATCTTGACACCTTGCAGTAGCACCAGCTCCACCCAATGGCCCCCACTCGGACTGATTCCCTGGCGCCCTCTCCGTTTGTCGAGCTACGATGGGATGCCCCTCCGTATCCTTTGCGTCTGCGACTTTTGCCCTGACCTTGGCGCGTGCGGACGAGGAGGTGCTCCCACCAAGCGGTCCCCACTCGTCGAGGTCGACTTCTCGCCGGCGAGTGCCGCCGCCGGAAGGCAACTGCATGTCTGAATTGCGCGATCCAGTCTGCACTGGCTCGCCCACTGAAGGAGCAAAGGTGGCCGCGGCCACCTTCGTGAATCTGTCATCTGCAAGATAGTCTGTACGATCGCCCTCTTCGGTCTCATCTTGCCTTTTGGCCGGAGCCGGAGCACCTCCCTCCGCTGAACGCATCACCTCGCTCGAGACGGAACGAAGTCCGCTTGCCCCCTGTCTAGCATCCATTGGTCGTAGGCCAGATACAGGCGCCTTCTTCCGTCTGTACGCCTCTTCCCTCAGCGGATTGCCCTCTAAGACGATGGCCAGCTGACCCTTGGGTATCCGCTCGGGAATGCGAGATCGGACGCTAACCAGCTGTCGAGCCTGTATGCCGACGCGTGGTTGCGGAGTGCCGACTCCAGCGGGGAAGGCCTTCTCGCCCTCGGCTATAGTGCGAGGTGAGCCCCAAACTTCTTCCAGAGGCTCCAGATCATCAATCTCGCATCTGTACAGGGATAGAAGCGACAAGCTTGGGAAGAACTTGGCTGGCTCCGCAGTAGACAGCGAACCCCCTATCTCTGGCGCATTTGCCTCGAAAATGTTTGATGCTAGGCCATTGCCGCCCAAATCGAGGTGCTGCAGAGACGACAAGGTACCGAGCGCGGCCAGAGGTACCGGACCTCTGACAAAGTTGTCAGACACGTCCAGCGTGGTTAGATTGGGAGGCCAGGTGATGGCCTGCTGCCGCTCCGTTCCCCCTTCCGCTTCCGCTCCTTCTGGCGAGACCAATGACCATCTGAGGGACGCATTGGTGAGGCGATTGTTGCCGAGGCTGAGGAAGCGACAGGCAGGAAGCGGCCGCCGCGGGTCCGGCTTGTATTTTTTGCTGGGGCGGGACGAGTGGCCCAGACCAGCCCAGATTCCGCCACTTTCCATAGCCTCGGCGCTGACTGCGATGTTCTCTTCATACTCCTTGGCACTTGCATGCAGATCTCGCTGGTGCCACAAAGTGGTGATGCGATTGCTGGAAAGGTCCAACTCTAGCAGAGTGGGGTGCATCAAGAGGGATATGGGAAAGATGGACAGGTTGTTGCCGCGCAGGTTGAGGTGAGTGAGCTGACAAAGGCCAGCCAGAGCGTCGGGCACACTTTTGAGTGCATTGTTGTGCAGCTGCAGAAAGGCGAAAGCGTGATTAGCGCAGGCCATGGATCACCCATCGAGCCGCTTATCCACTCACGTCTAGCCTGGTCAGTGCAGCGAAGCCTTGGATGGCATTTGGAATAGATTTGATGACATTGTTGGACAAGCTCAGCTGGACCAGATCGGCTCGCTCGTACCATGGCCTCCTGCTTGCTGCAGTGTTCGCGTGTTGCCTATACCACTGCGGTGCATCGTCGTCCAAAAGCTGAATGGCACATGGCGGCAACTCGGTGAGAGGCGGTGCGCGCGAAGCGAGGATCAGGCGACCTGTCTGGGTGGATTTGAGTAGCAGCGATTCCGTAGATGCCTGCGCAAGCTGCGTCTCCTCCTGCTCTCTCCTCCTCTCGCTCCTACCTCTTTGAGTATTGGTCAGTGCATCCTCGTCTTCCTCTTGAGCTGCGTAAGAAGAAGAAGAAGAAGAAGAAGAAGCAGCACCAGCACCAGCACCAGCACCAGCAGCAGCAGCGTCGTCTGAAAGCTTGACCTTTGCTAGTGCCGCGCGTTGAGCTGCAATGGCAGCTTTGAGCGCGGCAGACATGCTTCGAAGCAGAATGCCGCTTAGTCGTTGATGAGAATGGTGTTTGTGCGTGAGGCGAGTCGTATGGCGATCACGAATGAAGAATCAAGAATGTTGCAAGCGCGCAGAAGATGGCAGGCACGTGACTAGCAACACCCACACCACCAGTTTGAGTTCAGAGCGCGAAAGTGGTGAGTGGAAAGGCCGAGCAAGGCTTTGTGGGTGGTGAGTGTGTGCCTTGAAAGGTTCGCTGCGAATCATGCGCAGCTGCGCCAGCCGACGGGACTGGTGACAGATGCACGGTAACT